CAGGGGAAGACTTGGCCATTTTCTGGCATATTCCAGTGGGGCATCAGAACAGGCATGCAAGCATTTTGTTTCCTCTTTTAAAAAATGTTTTTATTGTATGTGTAGAGTGTTTTGCCTGCATGTCTGCCCATGCACCACCTGCATGCTGGGTGTCTGTAGAAGATAGAAGTGGACATCAGAAGTTAGAGTCAATTGTGAGCCACCATGCAGATGCTGGGAATTGAACTCAGGGCTCCTGGAAGAGCAGTCAGTGCTATTACCCACTGAGCCATTTCTCCAGAAACCCTTTATTTCCTTTGTGGTTTCTTCTGTTTCATGCTCTAGAGTTCTCCCCTACCGTGTGTGTGTGTGTGTGTGTGTGTGTGTGTGTGTGTGTGTGTGTGAGAGAGAGAGAGGGGGGGGGGGGCAGACGTCAACATTGGGCCAGCTTCTCAATGGTTCTCCAACTTGGTTTTAAGACAGGGTCTGTTGCTGAGCCCAGAAGCCACTGATACGGTTAGATTGGCTGGGCAATGTGCTCCAGGAACTCACCTGTCTCCCCCTCACCCCTGTATGATGACAAGTACATGACACCACCGTCAGCTTTTACACAGGGCCTGGGGACACAAACTCAGGTTCTGGTGCTTGGATGGTAGACATGACACTTTCTAAGCCACATCCCCAGCCTGCAACCCCCAACGCTTTAGACAACGTCTACTTCTCCTTTGGTCCTTCTTTGCATTAGAGAAGCCTGTCCAGATCTTCCAGGACCTGTGCACCACCACACCCTGTGTATGCGGTGCTGGGGATGGAACCCAAGGCTTCATGCATGCCAGGCAAACACTCTACAGCTGAGCTAAATCTCCAGCCCTAGGGATAGATATTTGGGTTGATGTTATATTATGTGAATTGTATATTAGAAAGCTGTTAAAAGCCTGTGAGTGTAGCTTAAACAAAGGTTTATTTGAGAACACAAAAATATGAGCCATTAAAATTACATATAGGATTTCATCAAAAGAAACCAGCACAGAATGATCCATCCTACAGGAAACACTCTAAGAAAAAAGTCAACCACATTAGGGATTGCCCAGGGCTGAGAGGCTATCAGGGGCTATGGTAAAGATTGGGGAATGGTGCAATTCCATTACAGCAGTAGATACAAAACCTCCCTGGGCTGGACACTGAAAAGAGTGAAGTTTATTTCATTTTTAAGTGGGAAAAATAAATGTAAAGAAAAATGAGGGCTGGAGAGAGGACTCAGTAGTTCAGACAGTGTGCTGCTCTGGAAGAGGACTTGAGTTTGGCTCCAGGCACCCGAGTCAGAGGGCTCCTAACCACCCGTAACTGTCACCATGACCTCCTAACCACCCGAAACTCTGTCACCATGACCTCACTTGTTACCTTGTCTCACTCTGTGTGGGACACGCTGTGGGGGGTTGGGGAGGGCTTAGTAGGTCTGTTCTTGCTTAGAACACCCTCACAGGGGTCAGTGTAACTCTCATGTTCGAAGCCTCTGCTCTGATGGAGGGGAGGAAGACACCATGTGTGTTGGGGAAGAGAGAGTCTGACCTCGGGGTGTGAGCCCTGGGAAAGAAACACCAGGTCTTCAGTGAGCAGAAAAGCCTGAAGATACTGTTAGTCCACCACACCGTTTTGTGAAGTTCCCCCATGATGGTTGAACTGTAACAGTTTCTGAAACGAAACCATTTGCTTTTTAGAGCTAAAATAACTTGTTTTGCAGAATTTTGCCCTTCTCAACCTTGGAGCTGACTCAGTGACAGCCCAGCTGCAAGCAAATACTTTGGGTACCCACCAACCATGTGACTTGGAATTCCCCCACTTCCTCTAAGCTTTCCTCAGATCCCTGACCATACTGCTGTCTGCTTGTCTGTCTAGTGCTCTGCAGGTGTGAAATACAACTCTCACCTCACAGGGGAGAAGACAGAGTTTACTTGGGAGTTGGCTCCCAAAGAGTAACTTTTGTCTAGGAGCACAGACTAGGTTACTCCAAATTCCATGTTTTAACATGTTAACGTTTCCTTCCAGGGTTTTTAAAAAGTAGATATTTATTTTTATTTTGTGTGGGGTGCTTTGCTTTCGTGCATGTATGTGTACCGTATATGTGCCTCCTGCCTCAGAAGCCAGAAAGAAGGAGCCAGATCCTCTGAAACAGGAGTTAAGGAGACTACAACTTGTCCCATGGGTGCTGGGAACTGGACCCCGGCCCTCTGCAAGAACAACAAGGGCTCCAAAGAGCTAAGTCATCTCTCTAGTCCCCTCCATGAAGTGTTCTAGTGATAAACAAACAAAGCCACACATCGGGCACTTTTAAAGTATAGTGGCGGAGACCTAAGGAGGGCAGGCCGCTATAGAGTGTGCAAAGCCCAGGTCTGGGCCTCAGCTCCTGTCAGGCCTTATCCTCAGCCTGCTGACTGGCAGAGAGTAGGAGCCTCTTGTACATTCTAAAGACTTACCTAATGCTCACAAAGATAGGTCACACACAAGCACGGCAAAATATGGCCCAAGATAGCTTGACTATGGACTGTCTTCATTTCAAGATCTCCACAGTCACTGAAGCCGCTTTCTCAAAAAAGAAAAAAAAAGGGGGGGGGGAAGAAGCTAGAGAGACGGCTCAGCAGAGGACCTGGGTTGGGTTCCCAGCACCCACATGGCAACACACAACCATCTGTAAGTCCAGTTCCAGGGGATCCAGTATCCTTTTCTGCCCTCCACAGGAATCAGGCACATGTGTGGAGCACATACATGCAGGCAAAATACTCACAGATATCAAATAAAAATATTTTTTAAAAATTAAAAAAACTAAACCTAGGGAGAACGCTTATTTATTTTTGAGATAGGATCTCACTATGTAGACCAGGCTGACATCTGGGTCTCACTATGTAGACCAGGCTGGCATCTGGGTCTCACTATATAGACCAGGCAACTACCTTTGCTGAGATTAAATGTGTGCACCATCACACTTGGAAAAATCTTTATTATTTAAAGTACATGATCATCTTTGTCAACATAGAGAGTGTGAGCACCAGGGTAAATGAAATCTTGTCTCAAAACAATAAAAATAAAAAATAATGGCATCATTGTAATAAAAACTTAGTTAACCAGATTATACACATTATACTTATATGGTCTTAATAAGTAGCTATTCTTTCTCTTTTTCCAAAGCTAACCTTCTCTTGGAGTGATCTCAACAAAGTATATGTATGTGTGTGCCTGCGTGTGTCTCTGTGAATGTCTCTCTGTGTGTGTCTGTGTGTATGTGCCTGTGTGTGTCTGCATGTGCCTGTGTGTATATCTGTGTGTGTGTCTGTGTCTGTGTGTGTGTGCCTGTGTGTGTCTGCATGTGCCTGTGTGTATATCTGTGTGTGTGTCTGTGTCTGTGTGTGTCTGTGTGCTTCTCTGTGTGTGTGTGTGTGTGCCTAACATTTATTTATTTTGTCTGCGTGTCAGAGGACACCTTGCTGGAGTCAGTTTTTCCTTCCATGGTGTGACTACGAGACTGGAACTCAGGTCCTCAGGCTCACCAACAAGCTCCTTTACCGGCTGAACCATCTTGCCAGTTGACTTGGTTGGTTTGGGAGTGCAGTTTAAGGGTACAGTCATCTTGGTGGGGGAGTCAAGTCAGTGAGAGCCATAAGCAGTTGGAAAGCAGAGTCACGAGTGAGTCAGGCAACTAGCCTTATAGAAGACTCAGCGTTGGGCGCAGCCCCTCCCAGGAACTTCTGTTCACAGCATTGAATACAATTCTCCCCACAAAAGATAAGGTGTCTCAGTATCCCCTTTGAATGCCACATCAGAACCCTTCAGGACAAGTGTGTCTCGTTCTTTTACCCATAGTGTCCAAGGCCTAATGAATGAATGAGTTAAAAAATACGAGATGTTTGAAGTGATCAAAGCTAAAACCCCTTTGTCTGGGATTTGGGAGTTCAAGTTCATGCTAAAACTGTGGCTTTGCAAATCGGAGGACGTTCTGTTCAGTGGCCTGAACAAGCAGAGGGAGCACATATAATCATGGGTTTGCAGAGCTGTTGGACACAGTAGAGTCTTGATTCTTTGGGGACTGAGGGAAGGGTGGAGTCTTGGGCCAAATGCTGGGTCATTTCAACTAGAGTTGGGTGGCTGTGGAAGAGAGATATGACTGAGGAAAGGAAGTTGAGGGGATAGGAGCGTGCTCTGAGAAGCCTAAGCCGGCAGAACAAGGGGAGGGAGGGGCTTCGAGAGCACAGTAATCTGAGAGGAGATGGGGGAGGTTTATTGTGTGTCACGAAGCCTGGGAGTCTGGGCGGAGTGAAAGGCTAGAGAGAGCCTTGGTTGAGTTAGATACCACAGGAGGAGCAGCAGAGAGGGACAGAGTCAGGGGCAAGTGTGGAGTGTGTGAATGTGGGTTTCTAAATTTGCATATTTTCCCCACGACAAAAAAAGACAGCACGTGAGTCTGTGAGCGGTTATTTGCAACAGTGAGCAGGAGCCGCCTGTGTGAGCAGCTGAGAATCGGAGGGTCAGGGTCAAGGTGGCGAAGGAACGCGTTTCACCAGACTTAAGACCTTCCTTGGGCAGGAGTATCGAGGCCTGCCAGAGAGCAGCAGCTCCCGAACCTCCGAACCCAGGAGATACCATAAAGTTTGCGCAGAATGTCCCAGAAGCCGACCCTCCAGTTCCCTGGGTGGACCGGCCACGCTGGATGAGGAGACGCCCCAGAGGATCAGGTTTTCCGTAGAGAATCACAGAGGTTGTGGTTGTTGAGCTTCTCCAGGCCCAGGGGCCCCAGGACTGGGTGGAACAGCCACACCTGCCGGCAGTTCTGAGGAAGAGGGCGGAACCTGCCAGCGCCCGCCCTCCACTGGCTCTCCCCAGGCTTGCGATAGGCTCTCCTGGGTCACTGTGTGCCACACGGCCTCACTTCCCGAAATGGGCAACTGTATTTTTTAGAGTCTGACATCCCTCCCTGGTTGACCCAAGTGGCATGCCCGGGGTCAGTGTGGGCCCTAGCCCCGGGTGACTGGATGGAGCCATGGCCTTCCACGTTCCTGCTGCTGCTGCTGCTTTTGTGGTTACAGAGCTGTGTCTCAGGTGAGAGGTGGGGTGAGAGAAGAGAAAGACCAGGTCCTCCTGTCTGTCCCCCATTGCCTTTTCGTGCTCTATTGTCTTAATGTTTCCTGGGGGCGGAGGCTGGGCTGACTTGGTGGGTCTTTGCCAGAGACCTGTGAGAAAGTCCCTGCTCCTATGTGGTCCCAGGGAGAGCTCCACCAGGCCTCACATGGATGGTGTAGCTGTATCCTCTACTTTGGCCTTTATCTGCTGGATTTCCTTGGTATGGAGAATTTCCTCCAAGAAATTACTGGCTTGGCGTTTGTCTGTCTAGAGAGTTCTGTCTGGTGCTGTTGTGACTCCTCGTACGTGTCTGCACACTTCGAATTCTGTTTTCCTTGGAAAGCTGATGTCATATCCGGTCCCTCTGCTCTGACCTGCAGGGAACAAATCCTCAAAGGCCTTTCGCTAATCTTGGCTACTCTCTGCGGGAGGCTCACCCATTCTTGCCTTCCTGGCTGCCAAGGCAACCCCTTACCACTTCCTGTTCCGTTCTGGGTATGGTGAGGGCTGGCAAACCCACCCCTCACTGTTTGACAGAAAGTGAAGACATAAATGAACCACGGACCCTAGAGGCTTCCTCCAGGTGCCCCTCTGTTGCTCTGCAAGGAGAAGGTTCTTCTCGAAACACAGCTGAGCTGAGGTGAATTTGACAGGTCTGCTCTGTTTGGTTCACTTTGCAAGGGAAGAAGATTAAGAGTGTCAGCTACAGTGGCAAGTGGTTTCGGGGGTCTTAACTGTAGCTCCTCCCTCCCTCTGCCCCCTGAATCATTCTGCCACCTCTAGCTCTACTCTCTCTTCAACAGATTGGGTTAGGAAGGACACAGACCACATTCATGTATTCATTCATACTCCTTTGTATGTGTGTGTTACATACGCGTGTATAGGCCATCCACACTCTTGCCCCACCCCCCCCCCACCCATTGCTGGGGTAACAGGTGCACAGTGATGGTGCTTGCTGTTTTGCATGAGTCTTGGGTTTGGAACTCAGGTTCTCATGCTTAGGAGTCTTCATAAACCATCTCCCCAGCCCTTTTTCTCTTTAGAGACAGGGTTTTGTTTCCAGGCTAGCCAGAACTCATTAGATATCCCAGGTTAGCCTTAAACTCTAGCTCTTCCTACCTCAGTCTCCCTCATGCTGTTACAGGCTTGTGTCACGTCTCACCCCAAGATAAAGAGACCAGGCATGTCTATCCTGTGCTCTGCAAGCCCCATGCATCCTGGGATAGCTATGGCTTGCCCAATACATTTGTAGACCTCAAAGTCAAGTTGCAACATCGAACCATTGGATTAACAGTGAATAATGTAGCATTCACTGGCCAGCTCATCAGCAGGACCATAAGTCTGTGTGGCCTGCTTATCTTTGGGGTTTATAACGATGGATTATTTGAATATTAAGCACCATGGACAGTACTATTTAAAGGCCTTCAGCAGAGGGCGGAGGTGTGGCTCAGTGGTGGAGTGCTGGCCTAACACGCTTGAGGCCCTGGGTGTGATCCCCAACACACCATACAAAACCAATGGGACAGAGCGGAGAGGGACAGAGGAGGAGAATTATTACGGGGGGAAATAATTCTTCATCGCTTTCCTAGACACGGGACCTTCTTGTCACCACAGCAGTTTGTGCGCTCAGGCTCCAGAGCTTGGTGACCTGTTTGTGTCTGCACATCTGTCTCAGGCAGAGCCCTGGTCAGTCATGAAATACTGGACATCCCCGAAGACCAGAAACTATCAGAGAAAGGGACAATATCCGGTAGAGAGTTCCTGCTAGGGCTGCTTCCTCATTGGACTGGGGTCTCCTCCATCAGACTGGGAGCGAACTGTTAGGGGGCCCTGTGCTTCTCTCATCAACTCCCTGAGGGAGGGGCTGTGCTCCCCATCACCCTGAGTTCCACAAATCCAGGGCTGCTGCACCCTTCTTTCACCTCCTGCTGCTGGTTTCAAGATGTCTTTCTCTTCCTCTCCAGACCGTGCTCAGAAAGTCCTGTCTCCCCAGGTCCCTCCAGCGAGAATGTGTACAGGAAAGTGTGGCGGCGTGAAGGGGAGTCTCTGACTGTGCTGTGCTCCTACAAGAACCGCCGGAACCGCGCTGAGAACAAGGCTTGGTGCAAGGTCAGGAAGAAGAAGTGTGAGCCCAGCTTCATCCGGAGCTGGGTGAAGGGGCCCAGCTACTCAATGCGGGATGATGCCAAGGCCAAGGTGGTCCATATCACCATGGAGGCCCTCAGAGTCCAGGACTCCGGTCGATATTGGTGCATGCGGAACACGGCTGGGAATCTCTACCCGTTGGTGGGTTTCCAGCTCGAAGTGTATCCAGGTGAGCAGACCCAGCCAGCGCTGGGATGGGTGGGATAGTATAAGAATAAGTGATTCTTCACTATGGACATCTTCCTGTCTCCATTTTATGGACAAAGAAAATGAGCTTTATCAAACTCTGTGTGGCTCTGACCTTGTCCTGTGTGGAGGAGAGATGGAACTCGGGACCATGTTTTGTCTTCAGTTGTCTGAACATCATATACTCACTGTCGGGGTGTGGCCGGCACTGTTACCTGCTTTGAGAATATAACATCATACACTCACAGTTGGGGTGTGCCTAGCACTGTTGCAGGCCTTGAGAATATAACAGTGAGCAAAACCAGGCATAGTCCTGCCCTGTGGGGAGCCCTGACAGTCACACGCCATCTGACCAATCAATGGCACAGAGTGCATGTGCTGAGAAAGCAATGATGAACTAGTTGCTTGGTGTCCGCGGCTCCAGGAGAGAAGAGCTCTGTCATGCTTGGAGAGCACCTGCTGGGGCAGCCTTATGAACAAAGGCCCTGCAGAGAGATGCAGCAAGGCCCTCAAAAGAACAGGTGTGGCTGGGCCACTCTGGCTGCGGGGGAGACGATTAGGGGAAAGGAACAGTTAGGTTTATAGTAATTGGTCACATTTATTTGTTTGTTTGGGGGCAAGGTCTCACTATGTAGCCCTGCTGGACTGGAGCTCACTGTGCTGACCAGGCTGACCCTGAATCTCTGACCACAGAGATCACACTCCCTCTGCCTCCCAGGAGCTGGGATTAAAGGTGTTACACCCGCACCAGTCCGATGCATTGCTTCTATTTAGGCTTACAGTCAAGTGGTTCTGAGTTCAATGATACAGAGCTGCGTCTAATTCTGACTGCAAAGGAAGAGAAGCATGCTGTATCTCATGTTGCTCTCCCACATGTGTGTATATGTAAATGTATGTGTGGGTACACTGTGTGTATGTGGAGGCCAGAGGTCAAGCTCAAGTGTCATTCCCCAGGAGCTGTCCTCACTGTGTGTATGTGGAGGTCAGAGGTCAAGATCAGGTGTTGTTCCCCAGGAGCTGTCCTCACTGTGTTTATGTGGAGGTCAGAGGTCAAGCCCAGGGGTCACTCCATAGGAGCTGTCCTTGTTTTTGAGACAGGGTGTCTCTCTCTCTGGCTGGTAGTGTGCCAAGTGGGCTACACTGCTCCCCATGCCCAGATTAAAAGCACTCACCAGTGTGCCCAGGTCTGCATGCCTCCAAGGCCAGCGCTGGACCGACTAAGCCATGGCAGCCCCATTTCTGTAAGGCCACAGTCACTGCTGACAAACGGTGGGGGAAGGAGAGGAGGCAGTGAGACCAAGGGGCCTGACTGGAAATAGCAAGGACTTGGACAAGTGGGACTTGGGCACCTGGGGCTTCTTAAGACTCTGTTTATTTTGGAGTGAGGAAAGATTTTCTCAATGGGGAGAATGGAGGAGAATATTGACTCTTCAGTTGCTGGGGGGTGGTAGCATTTATGTAGTGGGGAACCACCAAAAAGTTCATATGGAGGGAAAATCGAGAGCCCTGTTTTGTCATGTGAAGGCATGTTCTAGATTCAGGTAGAGAGAGGAAGCAGGCAGTTGAAGTGTTAATGATGGGACAGAACTTGGGTGTACACTTGGAAGTGTCTCTGTGAAGAGAGTCAAGGGCATTTAAAGGTCACGGCTTAGGGCTGTGGAAGAGACTGTAGGATAAGGGGTCTCTCCAGCATATCTCAGTAGAGCCGCTCATCACAACAAAGGGGATAGGAAAGTCTCTCTCCTTGTACAGAAAGATGAGAGAAGAGTCTAAACAAGATGGGGTCCCCACACTTATAGGACAGGAAATGGTGGGGACCCAGGAAGTGTCTGGGGAAAGCCATTGTTGTTATTAGTTCGCCCTCCACCGGCCATGCCCTGCTCCCCTGACCTGAGTGCATCCCCATCCTCCCTGGTCTGAATCAGGAAGAGCTTTCCCTCCCAGCTGTGGTGCTGAATCTCATCCTGTACTCTAGCTCCATGCCAACCAAGAAGCAGGAGAAACTGACCCTGGGGTCTTCACTTGGAGGGATGCCATCACGAAATAGGCTTATTTTTTTGCCATCAATTCTCTTATCAGTGCGTGCGTGGATGCGTGTGTGTGTGTGTGTGTGTGTGTGTGTGTGTGTGGCGCGCGCGCACGTGCATGCGTATGTGTGTTGTGTGTGCGTGTGCATGTGCTCTGCCTGTGGGGCCAGAGAACAACTTCAGCTGTCATTCCCAGGTGCCATTGCTCTTTTACTTTCTTTGAGCCAGGGGTTGTGATGAGCCTGAACATGCCAAGTAGGTTAGGCTGTCTCTGGCCAGTGACCCCAGGAATTCCCCTGTCCGTGCCCCCAACATGGGACTGTAAGCCTGTGCACCATGCTTGGGTTCCTGGGGCTGAACTCAGGTCCTCATGTTCACATGGACAGCACCACTGATCGAGCTGCCCCTCAAGGTCTTCATTTTCTGCTTCTCAAGGGTCATTAATCTTGGGGAGGTTTCTACTTTGCCCATGTTGTCAGTTGAGAGAAAAAACCATCTCCTGCCCATGGCCATGTGACACTTGATGCCAAACCTGACGATCTGGGATCCCTGGGCCCATGAAGTAGAGGAGAGAACTGACTGCTACAGGACCTTTGATCTCCATATTCATATCAGGAATGTGTGTGACCCCCAAATAAATAAACGAAAATGTAAAAATGTACTTAAACCTCAGCCCAATTACAACTCTAAGAGCAGGGTGTGCACCACCCCAGAAACCAGGCCTTGTAGCCCAGGACAACTGAGTAGGGACACAGCTTCTCTCCTGCCAGGCTCCTCCATCTTTTCTCTCCCCTACATTGTTATTCAGGCTTCATTGCTTAGAACAATGGCTCAGGCCTCCCTGCATAGCGACCACTGGACTCAGGAATGTCTTTTCCATGCCTTGTAAGGGAAGGAAGGGTTGTAAGTCTTTCTCTGTCTTGCTCCTGCTGAGACAGACCTGTGAGTCCCCACAAGACTCAGAACTCCTGATTGCAGTTCCCACATGCTGTCCAGAACCCATGCTGCTATTGGTGAAATGAGTTAGGATGATGTCAGAGGGGCAGGACCTGCTCCTGGGTGTCGATGTGTACCCTGAGGAGGGTGACTGACCACAACTGTTTGCAGTTTTCTCTTGAATTTGAAACCCTTGACTCCTCTCTGTCCCCAGTTCTAACCCCATCTCACAATTATGAAGCAGCTGCCTTTATACAGCATCATATTATAGAAATCTCTCTTAAACTCCAAAGGGGCAGTGAGATGGCTCACTGGGCAACAGCACTTACCATCAAGCCTGGTGACCTGGTTCAAACCCCAGGACCCAGAAGATGGAATGACAGAACTGACTTCTGCAAGTCGTCCCCAAACCTCCACATGTGTTCTGTGGCACATGTACACACACAGATACACACACTTACATGCTAAGTAAATGCCATTTTAAAGGAAAGTTCTTTGGTGCTCTTGATTGACCGGGGAGCTAGGAAGTCAGATGACACTGTGCTGGGGACCAGCCCCGACAGGGGAGGCTGAAGAGAGTGTGTTAGTGTCCCCTTCCTCACGTGTCTACGTCCTCGTTCCTGTCTCCCTCTGAAACAACACACAGCTGACACTCAGAAGCCAAGCCCAAAGTCACGGAGGGCAGATTCTCCTCAGTATCTGTGCAGCTGAGGGGCTGTGAGGTCTGTCTGTGGAACTCAAGTCTCTGCCTTAATCTAATATTTCCTCCTCTCTGGTCCCTCAGCCCTCACAACTGAGAGAAACATTCTTCGCACGCATCTAACCAACACCCTTGAGAGTGGATTTGTCACAACGGGCCAGGTCCGCATTTCAGGCCCTCATGTGCCCTTCACCCCTGACGTGTCTGTGTTCACATCTGGACTCCTCACCTTGGCCTCAGGGACCACCGAGCCAACCCCTGTGACAAGCTACAGTTTCACCAATTCCAGTGGCACCGTCACAGAGCGCGGGAGGAACACAAAGAACCAGCCAGTGACGTTGTCTCCTAGTGATGTGAGACCCTTCTCTGCTGATCCAGTGACCACCTCCACCGAGTTCAGACACCTGAGCAGCAGCTTGTCCACCACGGGGATGTACCACCCGTCAACCCCCAAGAGGTCATGTGATATTCTCTCAGGCGAGGCCCCAGCTCTGAGAGTCCAACAGACCTCAAGAGGCCGCTCTTGCGTCCACTCTTACTCCCTATTGCTCCCCATGAATTCAGTGAGGTCAATGCTATTCAGCAGTGGATTATGGGAAATGGAAAGGGCCATAAAGGAAGGCAATGCGATGAGGGTCAAGACAAAGGATAGAGAGGAGAGCGCAGGGCCAGGCGAGGGACTGAGGAAGGGAAGTGTGGTTGTTTTACTTGGATTCCCCCAGACCCTGAGACAAGGAGCAGCATTTTACTCTGGCACTGGGAAGAGGGTGAGGACCCAGAGAATGGAAGTCGGCTGGCAAACCGTGCTGAGGCAGCCTCTGCTGTGCACACAGGAGCGTCCTCCCACTGGGCATCCAGTGTCAGGTGCCCACTCAAGGCCAAGGGAGCTAGGACAGCGATATGCCACCTTCTGTTCTCCACTGGTGGGGGCAGCATTAGGGCGCCAGCACAATGGGCAGTGCAGGCCCTGGTGTCACGTGGAGAGGGATCTCCTGCAACAGAAATCGGGGTGGGGGCAAGAGGGGTCCTCAGTCACTATGGAGGCAGCAATCTTGATGTCATGAGCCCCATAGGGCCATTGTGAACTACCCTTGTCTTCACTGATGGGGGTGGAGGACATGCTGGAGGAGAGGTGACAGTGGAGATGCTGCCTTCTGCCTGCTGACTCGTCCATGACTCCACTGTCTCCTTTTCTCTTCCTACAGCTCATCCCCAAGAGGGAGCATCTACCTGGAGGGTCGCTGTGAGGTTACCCACTGGGTAACCTCTGTGCTTCTATCTGCCAAAGGAAGCTGTGACCAAGATTGGAACCCAGTCCTTACTCTCTCCTGTCCTGCCTCCTCAGGTCCCAGGAGACTTACCTCACTGTGACGATGGTAGTGCTGACATTCCTTCTGACGCCTGTGGTGTTGGTTATGGTCTATGGCTTTTGGAAGAAGAGGCACATGGGAAGTAAGTACAGCCACCCCTGGAAACCAGGACCAAGATCTGAGTCTCTACTCTGAGGATTGTGACACTGAGACTTTGGCTGGGGAATAAACCTCTGCCTGTGTCCAGTCAAGATGACCAGTGACATCCAGGGAGGAGGAGGGTGGTCAGGCATGGGTGGTTCCACATGTCCCTTATGGGGATGAAGGAACAATACAGAGGCCAGAGAGGGTCAAAGGTCACCCAGGGGCATTGGGGCACTGAGAGCAGGGCATGGCCTTTCTTCATCTCTCCCTGTTTGTTGTAGGCTACAGCTTGGGCAACGACTCTGCTAAACCCTGGATACATCTTCCTGAAGGACCAGAGACACTGTGGAAACCTGCTTGGTATAAGATAACTCAGTGATCTGGAGAGCTGACGCCAATGAACTCAGAGGCCAGAGAGGACCGAAGCCCAGACAATGGCCCTGGGGCAGGAGCACAGTTCAGCTGCCTTCCTTTCACCCAGGGCCACCATGTCCTCAGTTTCCCTCTGTTCCCTACAAACATCTCCATATGTTTGGAGACAAGAGCCAGACTCATGAGCCCTTGGGCAGCCAGTGTCTATAGAGTCCTATTCTGGATGAGAAGGGACAGAGACTAAGACCTGGGATCACAGAGGAACTGGTACAAGGAGGTCCTAGAGCTGACCAGGGCCACGTGTCTTCTGATGTGTCCTGACTGTGGCTGCTGGTCCCTTCTGTCCTAGAAGCCTGAAGTTTACACATGACACTTGGTTCCTGTCTGCCAGCCTCTCTCAGGTCAGCGAGAGCCTACAGGTGCAGGACCAGCCTTTTCCAAGATGGCTGCAAAGGCTGAACCTGGCCTCCCCCGATTCCAGTTGCTTCCCCCATGCTGCAGTGATGAGCTCATGGAGGAGACTGAGACTAATCATTGGCGTGTCTGAAGCCCCATGGAGAGGGCCCCTCCTCCAGACCGTGGGGTTGACCACTTAGAAAAGATTACATGGAGCTGTCCTGCATAGAACAGCAGTGGAAGGAGGACTAGGTCTGGCGAATTGACACCAGATTCTAGGCTGGAAAAGATGGGCAGACACATGGGCACACAGACATGGACATATACCCATACCCACTCACACAGATAGAGTGACGCAGAGACAGGCAGAGAGAGAGAGAGAGAGAGAGAGAGATCTGGCTTTGGCCAACAAAAATCCTGCTATGAGCCATCCTTCTACATGAGCAGCAGAACCATATCTCCAGGCAGGAACAGAGAAAACAGAGCCCAGGGTCCAATGGCCCTACTGACTCTGCCTCCTTCCTATGCACAACCCAGACTTGGCCTCTACTATCGAGATCATTGGTAGGGTTGAGCAGGGACTGCTGAGGGGTGTGGGTCTATGGACTGTGTGTGGGTTATGGGCTGAAGGCCGTAGGCTGTGGGCTGAACCATCACCCTAGTAGTGGTGCACACTAGCCCACGGAGACTTGAAAGGTCCCTGATCCAAATGCAACAGCTACACCCTCAGCCCCGAGTCAGGGACCTCCTAATGGCACAGCAAACATCACAGTCAGGAGGGTGACACAGCTGGGGCCTTGGTCACACTCCAGGATGGCTTTGTGGAGAGAGGAGGAGCCCAAGGTGTAACCTTGGACAGAGAAAGGAACAACTTCCAGCAGAGCTTGACCAAGGAGGAACTAGGTTGAGCAACTGACAAATCAAGTTCTAGAAGAAAGGACAGACAGACGCATCCACAGGTATCACTGGCTCGCTGGCCATCTGCTGAGCCACTGCTCTAGTGAGAACCTGGGAGGATCAGCTCACACTGCTGCCAGAGTGCCTCCTCCATTCCTGTCGCTCCTCTATTCCTGTCCCTCCTCCATTCCTGTCCCTTCTCCATTCCTGACCCTGCACCTTCCTTGGCCCTGACAGCCCTGTTTCCTGGGCAGCAGATGGACAGGCGGGCAGGCATAGGATCCAGGGATCCCTGTGTGAACCTGACCAAGCCACTAGCCATATCTGGGCCTCAGTTTTCCCTGTCTTATGATAGGGGACAATAATTCCTACCTCTAAAGAGTGTTTGGGGGTGCATTGTAATGACATAAACACTGTGCAACCATGCGAGTGTCTCCTGACTACTTTCTTGATGGTCATTCCTGCTCCACTGTTCATTAGGAACTGAGTTTTGCTTTAGTGTCTGCTCAGCTGCTGTGACGGAAACACTCTGACCAGGGGCTGCAAAGAGGGCCCCGTGATTAACATGCTTATTGTTCCAGCAAGGACCTAGGTTCAGTTTCCAGCACCAACACTGGGCAGCTCACAACTGCCTGTAACTCTAGTTCTGGGGTATCTGATGCCCCTTTAGGCCCCCTCAGGCATATGGTGCATATGAACTCTTACAGATACACACAAATACACCCAATCAAAACATCTTTAAAAAACTACAAAACCCAGACACTCTGGCCAAAAGCAACCTAGGGAATAAAGGGTTTATTTGCGTTATGTTTCTTTGTCACAGTCTGTCTTTGAAGGAAGTCGGGACAGGAACTCAGGCAGGACTGAAGCAGAGACCATGGAGGAATGCAGTCTGCTGTCTTGTCTGCTCACAGGCCTGTGCTTAGTTAGCTTTCTTACACAGCGCAGGACCGCTTGCCCAGGGAATGGTGTCTCCCGCAGTGGACTGACCTCCTCTATCAGCTACAACCAAGACAGTTCGCCAGAGACTGGTCCACAGGCCAGTCTGATCAGGGTGATCTCTCAATTGAGGCACTCTTCTCTGGAGACTCCAGGCTGTGTCTAGTTTACATTTGAAGCTACCTGTCTACTTTCTTGCTCTCACCTTGTCTCCTCCCATCTAGGCTCACACACGGATGGTGCAGCTCTGTGCTGGTGGCTGCATCAGTTCCTTTTCAGTTGCTGTGATGGACACCATTGTTGGGGACTGTCTGGTCCTAGGCTTCCCTGGGGCCCTGAACTATGGGGAAGGATTGGTTGCTTGTCTAAGACCAGGAACATGCAAGGCAATGCCAGTAATAGCCTGGGGCCAGGGCCTTAGAGAAGCTGTGGTTCACACCCTGGGAGCCCAACTCTTCCCCACAAGGGGCTGTGGTTATCAGTCTCAAGGTCCATGTACTCTGTCTGTGATGCACCAGCGATTTCTGTGTTCCTTTCCTACAACAACGCCTGATTAGCCTCCTGCTGACTCCATCCCGGTACATGGTGGCTCTCAGCTGACCGCTCCCATTCCCCCTCTGCAAACCGTGTACAATAATTCACAGGACATAAGTTATCAGCTTATGCAAGATCTCCTGGTCCCAGCTTTCCTATCTTCTTTCTCTCTCTCATTTCTTGTCCACCCGCTCAGGATCCTGAGTCTGCTGGTCCATGTCACACCATGACCGGCACAACTTTTAAAAGGAAGGGTTTATTTGGGCTTATGGTTCTAGAGGGTTGAATTCGCTGATAGAGAAGCATGCAACAGGATGGTACAGGCTGCTCCAAGCTCACGTTTTGGTCCACTAAGCAGGAAGCAGAGAGAGCAAACTAAGAGTAAGGTAAAGCCTTAGGCTCTCATACCTACCCACTGTGACAAACTTCCTCCAACAAGACCACACCTCCTAAAATCAGCACTACCAGCTGGATACCAAGTGTTCAAATGCCTAAGGCTATGGGGGACATCTTATTCAAACCACAACAGTGGCCTTGAGACCTTCTTGTGAATAGCTAAGGTACTTGGTAAGGCAGTGGCACTGAAATCAAGGTCTGAGTTCAAATCCCCAGTGTGGCCCTCCATCTCCGTGTGACCACAGTGAGTCACTGTCCCTCTCTGATGCTGTGTCCTTTTCTGGAGAGGAGGATGGTGAAGGCTGAAGCCCCCGTATTCCACCTCCTATGGCAAAGGCACGTGCATGTTGGTTCATGAGCACAAGTCAACATTTAGAGAGGCAGGGCAGCGGGGAAGAAAGTCAGACAGCTCTGGCCTCACTAGACAGTGACGGAGGGAAGCAAAGGTGTTGTGTAGTTGCCCACACATTAGACACACGCGGGTCAGATGCTATGGTGCAGGGGGCGGGACAGGCTTGTGTCCGTCAGGAAGCAGGACGTAGAGATCCTGGAAGCTCTGCATGGTTGGTCAGGCCTCATGAAGGAGTTTGCTGTGTGAAGCCAGAGCAGTCTAAGGCAAGAGATGATGCGTGAGGCCTACAGGAGGCAGGATGCAGGAGACTGGTGATGTCTGCAGGAGGCAGGAGACGGGTGAGGCCTGCAGGAGGCAGGAGATGGGTGAGGCCTGCAGGAGGCAGGATGCAGGAGACTGGTGATGTCTGCAGGAGGCAGGAGACGGGTGAGGCCTGCAGGAGTGTCTAGGGGTGTGGGTGCAGAGACAGGGCAGGCTGATGCACCTTCAGAAGGCTGCTCCAGAAGGAGCTACACAGACAGAGGAGGCCAGGGCCAGGGCCCAGCTAATGGGTACATAGAGGTTTTCAGTGAAAGAGAGGTTAAACAGGAGAGTGAGGGAGTGACTCCCCACTCATGGGATCAGGCCGGGGTTCCAAGCACGTGAGAGCTGGTACTCTAAGGACTGCTCACTTGGGAACTCACGGTAGGAGCACTGGGAACTGAGGAGTGGCTGTAGACACCTGTCTCCTCAACTCCCATGGCCTGCATGGCTTCTGAGGCTCCTCTCTCAGAACCCCAGGCCAGTCTCTTCCTCTGTCCTCTCCTTTCTGGTGTTCAGGGGACTCAGAACCAAAGTAGATGAGGGGGCTGGGAGTGGTATACAGCAGAGGTGCTGACAGGCCAGGGATGCACCTGCCTTGGAAAGGTCACCACTTCCTGAGCCAAGGGCCATAGAGACTGGAATCCCCTGCACAAAGCTCACTGTTTGACCACAAGGAGCAGGTGAAGTAACCCTGGGCCACAGTTGTGCGCGCTCCAGAACAGGTCACATCTTGGCTGCAGATGCATGCCTGCTCTGCTAAGGGTGATGCAAGCTGCCAGGTCTGCCCTCAGCATCCTTGGACTTCTTACTCCATGCTGGGAGGGGTGAGGAGGCAGATGTCACCTCAGGGAGCAGTTCAGCTGCTGAAAGTCACCTTCCCATGGCCCACGTTCCTCCTAGACACCCCGCCTCGCCACTGACTGACACTGCTCTCTAAAGTCTTAGCACCCTGTGCCAGCTTGGTCAAAGGCTTCCCCTGCCTCTCAGACCTCCTCACACGGGGCCTGGGCTCCTCACTGCATTAGTGCTGCACAATCTGTCCCTTTCCTCCCCAGAGTCTTTCTCAAGTCCTGTGCAACCTAGGTCACCCCTTGGCCCTGGCGTCCTACCTACTAAACAACATTGTCATTTAAAGGTGCTTCCCTGTTCCTATAGTTTTTTTAAAATCTTTTTATTTGTTTATTTATTTTGAGATAGGGTTTCATGTAGCCCTGTCTGAACTTGGTAGGTAGTCAAGGATGAACTTGAACTCCCAATACCTAGGCTTAGAGTTCTGCACCACCATGCCAGCTCTCTCCTAGTTTATCTGTTAACTATGAACTCTAGCTATTGATCTTTTGTACTTCATGTAATAACTGTTTCATTTATTTATAAATTTTGCACGTATGTAGAAGTCAGAGGACAACTATTGAGAGTTGATTCTTTCCTTCCACCATTGGGTCACGAAGCTCAAACCCAGGTTATCAGTTTTGATAGCAAGTGTCCTTCCTTGCTGAACCATCTTACTGTCCTGTGACAGTTATTTTGAAATACATTTGACGAGTACAGTCTTTCAAGTGACATTAGCAGTGACTGTGACATGTTTGGAAACTGCGTATATGGGGGTGACACAGGGCTGGGGCTCCCCTTTTCCTTCCCTCCTTCTGAGCTCTTCATACCTTCATACCTAGCTTTGTGGTCTCCCAAACTAATCAGGACCCCCTTGCTCCTCCAATCCTGAGAATGCATGTCCACCCCCTTCTTCTCATCCCTTCTAGTACACACAGAAATTTCTGGTTCCCAGATGGGTCAAAGAAGGCTTAGAGTTCTAGCCAGGTTTCCAAAGGGCCTCTGGTTCTGTCACCTGCCTTCAGTGGGAGCCAAACTTGGGTAGGGGGACAGAAACTTGAGGCTAAAGAGGAAGAGGGGAACTTGTGGGTAGTGCTGAATAGAAATGAGCAAGACTCTTACTTCACTGCGGTTTCCTCCTGGGTTTTCTAAGCTTTCCACACCCCAGTCTTCTGGGGCAGGAGACTACACCATCTCTGTGCCCCTTTATCTAGTTCAGTACAGAAGCCTTGAACCAGAGCCTGTGCTGGAGGAGCCACAGGGCCGCACAGGCCTTGCTCAGCTTCTCTCTTGTCCTCGGAGGTCCAGGCTTCCTCAGCAGTTCACCGTGCACTGGCTGTGGAGGCTGCCTGGACCCTGCCCTGCCCTGGTCTCCTCTCCTCAGAGCATCCCTTCCTCCTTCCCTGCTTGCTCCCCTACAGCTCGAGAAGAGGACCTATGGCCTGGGAGGCCACATACCTGCTATCCCCCATCCTGCTGGTGCTCCTGGACTCAGGTGAGGACAGGGGCAAGGATAGAGGGAACGGACCAGGGAGAGGAGAGGGAAGGGGTTGGGAGGTGTGCAAAACAGGGCTCTATGGTGGAACACATGGTGTGTTGTGGCCAGCAACTGGCTCTAAGCTGCACCCTGAGCATAGACACAAAGAGGGCAGTCCCTGAGAAGGGAGCCCATCTCCTAGCCCTGCTGTGTAGACTGGGAGACTCTCTGATCTGAAGGGTGTGTATGTTCCCAGGCTTTTGCACAGAGGATGCAGAGTTATTTCAAGTAGTGGAAGGCCAGAACTTTTCTGTGAAATGCCAGTATTATCACAGCCAACACGTCAAAGAGAAGGTGTGGTGTCAGCAAAGATCAACAAAACATTGTGAAGTGTTAGTGTCCAGTCTCAGCCCAGAAGCTCAGCTGCCGAATTTCTCCATCTGGGACCATCGTGACTCTCACTTCTTCACTGTCACCATGACTACACTCACGGTGAGAGACTCGGGTGTCTATTACTGTGGAATCTATGACAATCGCAGAACAGTCCGTGTTCTCAAAACTATCCGCCTGGTGGTGTCAAGAGGTGAGTTTCCCCCTTCTATGTGACTCTCAGCTTTCCTGATCACCAGGCTCCAGAGTTGGAGAGGAATCTAGAAACTGTGTCTTTGAATAGCTGGGAACTGGGGCACAGGGAAGAACCCCTCCCTGCAAGGCCCCCTGTTGGTTCAGGGCAGAGCCAACCCTAGAACACAGGCTTGCTGACTTCTGGACAGTTTTGCTGCTGCTGCTGCTGCTGCTAACACAACTCTGTTTATTGAAGGATCTTGTTGTTCCCTCCAGCTGTCACAGCTGCCCACACCCAAACATCCCTTCCTGCAATCCCATCAGAAACCTTCTCTCCAGGAGTGGCAGGTTCCATCACATGAGAGACCTCAGAGCAAATGGAGAAGGCACTGAGAGATGTGGACCAAGAGGAGACAGCTACACAGAGAGGCACACAAAGGGCTTAGTGGGGAAGGTTGAGAGATGCGGTCCTCATCCAGGATCTGCTCTTGATGACTGAGAACCTCTAAGCTCTGGGAAGTTGGCCCAGAGGCTGCTGCTAGTGGCCTGAGTTTCCTGTGTATCTCATGCGGAAGATTGCAGTGGCGGAAGGCTTTGAATCAGTCTTTCATGTTCATGTGCTCACAGTGTGGACAGCTCCTCCCAGGGCTTTCCCTGCTGCAGAGAATGTCCAGCCCTTTGGTACAATGGGTGCCTGGAGGTTACTTCAGGACAGCTTTGGCCCAGGCACACTCTATGGAGGGGTGGCATTAGGTGTGACCTTTATATATTCAAACATAGTGGACACAGGCCTCAAGAGATCTTAGCTTGAGCTGGGAAGACCCTTTCTCAAAGTGGGAGGCACCATTCCCTAAGCTTAGGGTCCCAGACTCAGTATAAAAAGGGAAGTGAGCCTGAAACATTCACTGGTCTCTACTGCCTGACTGTGGATGCCTGCAACCAGCTGCTTCCAGCTCCTGCTGTCTTGAGTTCCTTGCTGTTATCTGCTGCACTCTGAACTGTATACTACAACAGACTCTTTCTCCCATAAGGTATTTTGGACAGAGTGTTTTATCATAATTATGGAAAACCTATCTGAGTCACTGTGCAAGTTCCGTTCACAAATGCACATTAAAGACAAAGCTGGGCATGTAGGCACGTGCTTGCAATCCCAGCACCGGCGACATGGAGACAGGAGGATCCTTGGGGATCACTGGTAAAGTCCAGCAAGTAAGAAGCCCAGTCTCAAAAATTAAATAAAGTTAAATGGACTACACTCGAGTAAATATATGTAAATTTCCCTTTAACATTCACATGTACACATATGCATTTACATATATACATACACACACGCACATACTCACATATATACACACATGCACACATATACATATATACATGCAAATGTACACATACTCATGCATACATACACTGCACACATACTCACATATATATACACATGCATACACACACATGCACACATACACATGCACACATATATATGTATATATACCCATGCATACATACACCGCACACATACTCACATATATATATATATACACATGCATACATACACATACACACATACACATGTATACATGCACACATGTGCACCTGCATACACACAAACATGCACATGCATGTACATAAACACACACATTTTAAAAAGAACACTGGCGGCTGGGCAGATGGCTAAGTGATTAGAGTGCTTGCTGCTCTTACAGAGGACCTGGGTTGGTCCCCAGCCCCATCTTCAGATGGCTCACAGCAGCCTGTGACTCCAGCTCCAGAGGATCCCATACCTCTGTCTCCATGGGCACTGAACTCACATGCACACATCACCCCCGCCACAGAGACATAAAGATGACAAAAATCTTCAAATGAAAGAACGCAGGAAGCAGGAAAAGACTCATTTACAGTCACATGTGCTGTGGCTTCTCAGAATGTGACTCCAGCTCCATTCACAGCACAGCATCGCCTTTTTGGTGGGGCAGAGTCCTCACTTGCTGGTTCCAGAACCACGTGTGGAGTCCTCCTCTTCCAAGAGCAGGAGCCTGGGGCTTGGGTGGAGTGGAAAGACAAATGTTATGCTCATTATGGTTTCTTACATCTTTAGCCCCATCCACAACCTCCTGGATGACAACAGTCCTGGCCTCTGCCACCAGCTCTGCCACCAGCCCTGTCATTTACAGGTATTGCACTCTGAGTCTTGTGTTTCCCCCACTCTCCTGACTATAGTTCCCAACTGTCACCCTGACCGATGCCAGCTCTCACAGGATAGATGTAGTTAAATGGCCACTTCTCGTCATTTTATATAGGCCTCAGTTTTCTCATCTGCAAAATGAGATCACAGTAATATTCCAATGTCTGTCTATCATCTATCTATCTATCATCTATCTATCTATCTATCTATCTATCATCTATCTATCATCTATCTATCTACCTACCATCTATCTATCATCTATCATCTATCTATCTACCTACCATCTATCTATCATCTATCTATCTATCTATCTATCTATCATCTATCCATCTATCATCTATCTATTCATCATCTATTTATCTATCTATCATCTATCGAGTTAGTTACTGTACTCTCAGCCTTATATTTTCTATTTTGAGATTATGATTTCACTCAACATCTCAAGCTGGTCTTCAATTCGCTCTATCATGCAAGGTGGCACTGAACTTTTGGTCCTCATCCCTCAGCCCTCTGAGTGATAAAGCTTGTGCCACCTGTGCCGCCAGCCCAGGCTCTAGCTTGTTCTATGCCACAGGAGGTTGCTCTGTGCCTTTTAAGATGTTATCAGTGTCCTTGACAGTGCGTGGCCAGTAGTACAAGATCCCTGCAGGAAGGAGGCTGGAACTGGCAAGTTCAGGGTCGAAAAGGAAGTTAGGGGCAGGAGACCGAAAACGAAAAGGAGCAATAGCTTGTGACATTTTCAGCATTCCCCTATGTTGGAGACTGCAGGACCTACCAGGCAGGCTCACTGCACAATGCAGCTGTCCCCTGTCCAGAAGAGGCTGGTTTGCCGGAGGACCTGTGGGAACTGGAGGCCTTGGGAAGAAGGTTTTCTGGCAGGCAGTGTTCTGGGCTCTGGCTCTCCTCACCCCGCTAACCCTTCTTCCACAGCCCTCTGGATAGCTGGATGTGGAAGGGCATCATTGCTGGTGTGGCAGTGGCCGTCCTGCTACTGCTCGTGTTTGTTGTCCTTGTGGTCCTGTACCTCAGGAATGCTCGAGGAAGAGCCCAGAAAGGTGAGCCCATGTTGTTTGTTTTCCCATCAAGGAAATGGACCTGAAAAGCAAAGTGTCCAACTGGCTCCCTTTCCCTTCACAAGGTGGCAGACCTGGTGGTCCTGAATGAGGGGGATGTGGTTGAAGGGACCAGTTCTTCACAGCCTTCAGGTTGACTTACCCACAGGTGCCCCAACTCCCCACCTATTTGCCGGGATTTTGGATCATATACTTTTTATCTCAATTTTTAAAATTATTTTATTTCATGTGTATGGTGCTTTGCTTGCATGTATTTCTAGGCACCATGTGCGTGCCTGGTGCCTATCAGACCACCTGGAACTAGAGTCACAGAGAGTTGTCAACCACCGTGTGGGGCCTGGGAATTGAACCTGAGTTATCATGAAGAGCAGCCAGTGCTCCTAACTGCTGAGCCACCTCTCTAGTTCCTAGTCTTTTCAACTTTGTAATTAGGGACTTGCTAAGTCTACATAAAGAACTTTCTGGTTAATGATATTGAAGTGCATGTTTATATCATTTTAAAAATTTGTCTTTCTCAGTATGAGGAAGGAAGTGCAGAGATGTATGTAGTCAAATGCAGAGATGTATGTATGTCAAAGTGCAGAGATGTATGTAGTCAAAGTGCAGAGATGTATGTAGTCAAGATGCAGATATGCATGTAGTCAAATGCAGAGATGCATGTAGTCAAATGCAGAGATGTATGTAGTCAAATGCAGAGATGCATGTAGGTCAAAAATACAAAATAGCAACTATGCAGAGTGAATGAGTCAAAGGATTTAATGTACAACACGAAGATTATGGGTAAGAATAATACGTCATACCCTATATTTTGGCCACATGAGTGGCTTATGACTGCTCTTGCCACAGGAGAAATACGGGTGTGCTGTTAGGTTTTTCATTGTCAACTTGACACACGTAGAATCACCTGAGAAGACAGTCTTAACGGAGAACTCTCTAGATCAGGTTAGTCCATGAGCATGGCTATTGCAGGAGGGGATTAGCATGATTGTTAGCTGATGCGGTAAACCTACCATGCAGGCTGCACCATTCCCCAGGCAGAGGCTTGCAAACAGTGTAAGGAAGGAGTTAGCTGAGAGCAGACAAGAATGTGTGTATTCGCTTTGCTCTTGGCTGTGGGTGTGGTTTGTCTAGCTGCTTGAGTCCTTTCTGAAATGATGGACTGTAACTTGTAATTGTTAGCAGATGAGCCTTCCCTCTCCTGAGCTGCTTTTCTGTCAGGGTGTTTGTCTTGGCAACAGGGATCAAAGCAGGCCAATTCATCATTCTATGTTATTAACCATCTTATTATGTATTCAAAATCTTATAATATGTAATGTGTATTATATACACATTTCAAAGTATACACAATAATGTTTCCCTTTGTGGTGCTAAGAAAAGACCCGAGGCCCCAAGCATATTAAACACACAGTCTACCACTGAACTATGCCCTTTGTAAACATTGAGGGGCTGGGGTATGGCTCACTGGGTAAAGTGTTTGCTGTGTAAACATGAGGACTCGAATTCGACATAGGGCACCTGTATAGTAATCGGAGCACACACCTGTAGTCCTAGCCTTGGCGAGGTGGAGCCAGGCTTACCAGCTTTCCCACCAGCTTCTCAGAAACAACAAGTGCAGGTCCCAGTGAGAGACTCCTGAGCTCCTGAGGAACAACACTCAGGGTTGTCCTCTGGCTTCTATACACATGTGCACACACTTACACATGCCCATGAACATGCACCCCTCACACTTACATACTTACACCCCCAAAAGTGAACATGGTACAAAGGAAAAATCGTTTTCCCTCTCGATTTTTATTTTTTAAGCTTTTCTCCGGACAGGGTTTCTCTGTGTAGCCCTAGCTGTCCTGGAACTCACTGCATAGACTGGGCTGGCCTCAGATATAGAGATCTGCCCACCTCTGCGTCCTGTGTGCCAGGATTAAAGACATGAGACACCTCCACACCCAGCTTTCTTCCTGTTCTTGAGGGACTTGTGAGTCTTCCAAGTTTTGGGTTTTAGCATTAATCCCACATGAACTCTGTGGCCTTCAGCTGACTTCTGCCTCCTTTGCTGCTTTGTTCTGCCCTCTGTGCACACATATTTATTCACCACGTGCCCTCCAGACAGTTCTGGACAGCAAGGTTCGACAACTCACAAGGTTGTGTGAGTGGAACAAGAGCTCTTGGCGCTTGGGAGTGTTGACTTTCCAAGCTCTATAAAAAAAATCCTTAGGGAAGAGAGAATCTCAGAATTCTATATGCTTGGTTTCCAAACGTCATGAAATCAGTTCAGTGGGTCACTGTGACATTTTAGAAAACAACATAGGAACAGGGACATGCCCAGACTCGGCACACATATTCTCACTGAGTTTTCATTTAGAAGTGTGTGTGCACACAGGGTGAGTGTGGGAGGGTGTGTTCATAGGAAATGCTTACCCTGAGGGCTTTGACACAAGACACTAGAAAGCCAACCTCTTCCAACCATAGCCCCACCTGTGAACAGACCATACTTAAGTCTGATGTTTAAATACGGAACTTGCAGTGAGTGACCTGAAACTGACCAGGAAGATGACTGGGTTTTTGCAGAGCAGACACAGGCAGCCAGCCTATCAGGGTACCTAAAATCCTCCGATATTACTCAGTGCTGAGGGCTTGGGAGCTCCCCAGGCAGAAAGGATCCTTTGGCCAAGCCCTGTGCTCTCCTCCATCAGGGTCCCAGCCTGGTGTTGCTATGGGAATTGGGTGAGATGATACGTAGGACATCCCCTCACTAAATTTCTGGTTTCCTCACAGTTGAGAACGAATGTCACAACATCTATGAAGAATTTCCAGATCAGAAGGAGGAAACCACTGTAAGTAGGAGTGACTCTCCTCTGGGACGTAGGGGGCCTAGATTTCTGGTGGACACCTGTCATTGTGAGCTGTGCTTTCCAGTGTGCACCTGTCATCGTGAGCTGTGCTTTCCAGTGTGCACCTGTCATCGTGACCTGTGCTTTCCAGTGTGCACTTGTCATCGTGAACTATCTTTCCAGTGTGCACCTGTCATTGTGAGCTGTGCTTTTCAGTGTGCACCTGTCATTGTGAGCTGTGCTTTCCAGTGTGCACCTGTCATCGTGACCTGTGCTTTCCAGTGTGCACCTGTCATCGTAACCTGTGCTTTCCAGTGTGCACCTGTCATCGTGACCTGTGCTTTCCAGTGTGCACCTGTCATCGTGAACTATCTTTCCAGTGTGCACCTGTCATTGTGAGCTGTGCTTTTCAGTGTGCACCTGTCATCGTGAGCTGTGCTTTCCAGTGTGCACCTGTCATCGTGACCTGTGCTTTCCAGTGTGCACCTGTCATCGTGAGCTGTGCTTCTGAGTATGCACCTGTCATCGTGAGCTGTGCTTCTGAGTATGCACCTGTCATCGTGAGCTGTGCTTCTGAGTATGCACCTGTCATCATGAGCTGTGCTTTCCAATGTGCACCTGACATAGTGACCTGTGCTTTCCAGTGTGCACCTGTCATCGTGAGCTGTGCTTTCCAGTGTGCACCTGTCATCGTGAGCTGTGCTTTCCAGTGTGCACCTGTCATCGTGAGCTGTGCTTTCCAGTGTACACCTGTCATCGTGAACTGTGCTTTCCAGTGTGCACCTGTCATCGTGACCTGTGCTTTCCAGTGTGCACCTGTCATCATGACCTGTGCTTTCCAGTGTGCACCTGTCACCGTGAGCTGTGCTTTCCAGTGTGCACCTGTCATCGTGACCTGTGCTTTCCAGTGTGCACCTGTCATCGTGAGCTGTGCTTTCCAGTGTGCACCTGTCATCATGAGCTGTGCTTTCCAGTGTGCACCTGTCATCGTGAACTATCTTTCCAGTGTGCACCTGTCATCGTGAGCTGTGCTTTCCAGTGTGCACCTGTCATCGTGAGCTATGCTTTCCAGTGTGCACCTGTCATCGTGAGCTGTGCTTTCCAGTGTGCACCTGTCATCGTGAACTATCTTTCCAGTGTGCACCTGTCATCGTGAGCTGTGCTTTCCGGTGTGCATCTGTCATTGTTAATCTGGTCTGGGTTCAGTTTCTATTTGCACTAAGTGGCAGCACACACTCAGGACTGCTCATGTCCGCATGACATGTTTATGTGTTTCCTTTTCTGTATTTCTTCTCCTGTGTTCCCAAACTCAAGAGGGGAACAGAAAGACAGACAAAGAAGAGACGAGGAGGGGGCGGATTTGGTAGAACCAGTTCTTGGCCACCACCTTTATGGGCGACAGCCTTTCCTGTGTCTTAGGACATAGCCAGTCTACAAACTAGCTGCCGCTGGTCCAGTCAGTGTGGGAAAATGAGATGAACCATGTCCCCTAGGTCCTCCTGAGGGCTGGATGGTGTGGGTAGCTCTGCCTCTCCTGAAGACCCAAGACTCTTAGATACCCAGAACTAGAAGGCTCCAGGCCACCTAAGCCAGCTCTCTTTAGAAACTAGAATCGATTCCATGAAGTGCGTCTCTAAAAAGTCCCTTTAACTCAGCCCTAGTCCAGTTTGAATGTGCACAAGATGCACTTGGAGAACTTGTTGAAAAGTTCCTTGAAGGATACGGTAGCAGCATTTATGAGGCTGAGGCCAGATGGTCTCCAATTTCATGCCAGCTTGGGCAACCTAATGAGACCCAGTCCACAAAGCTTGGGGCTACAGCTCAGTGGTAGTACTTGCCATGCAAATGCAAAAACCTGTGCTCCATCCCATACACTAAATATATGCAGAATAATGGTTTCTTACTCCCTACCACAAGGGTCTATGTTCCATGGATTTAGAGTGAAGCCTATTTCCTGTTTGGAGCAGGAACTTGGAGAGGCCAGTTCTTGTCTGCTCAGTGGCAGGAAAGGCAACTTTCCCTGCCACCCCTACTCAGAGTCTCTGCGGGTCCAGTGCCACACCTCATATCTTTGTAAAGAAAAGGATTATTTATTCTTAGTTTATGTTTATGAGTGTTTGGTCTACATGTATGTATGCCATGTGTATACGGTGCCTGAGGTGGTCAGAAAAGGGAGTCAGATCCCCAGACTGGAGCCAACAGACCATTGTGAGCTGCCATGTGGGTGCTGGGAATGAAACCCAGGTCCTCTAGAAGAGCAGCCAGAGCTCTCAGCCACCTACCATCTCTCCGGCCTGTGTTCCGGTCCTGTCCCTCTGCCCTGTTCTGGTGACTCATGGGTCACTGGTCACTGCAGCTGCTATTCTATCAACACACATCTGTTTACTTTTATCCTAGGACGTCAATCAACAGATCCTGTCCACTGAGGACACGGAGGCCATTTGCTATGCTTCCCTCATCCACCTCAACCACACGAGCCTTCAGGACTCCATCTCTAGCAGTTCCCAGCCCTACCAGAAGCCCTCGCCTGACCCTCTTCTCTCTGTGGAATATGCTAGCATCTCTAGAAACAGACTCCAGCCAGCCAAGGCAGCTGCCCAAGAGGTGGAAACCAGGAACTGAGGGCTGAGCGCACACGGCAGAGCACGCAGGAATAAAGCTGCATCGCGGCACAGGAACAACTTCCTACAGTGTAGTTGGTCTCAGACTGTTGGGGCCACACTTTCTTCAAGGAGGATGGCAAACAGTACGATGGAGAGGGCTTGTGGACCCCTGGTGGCTCCGCTCTGGCGGCCTAGGGCCAGTGCTGCTGGGACAGTCTACGTGCATAGAGACCTGGGCCAGCGCCTTCGATGATGCTCGCCTCCCTTTGGTGACCACCACTTCCTCTCCACTGGCTTTTGAAACCCAGGCAGATTGTGTAAGTTCTCCAGGAACTCGAAGTCAGCTGAGGAGATCCGCTCAACCCCCAGCTCCTCCCCACACCAGCCTGTTACTAAAACCATCCCCGCTCGGGAACTCTGGTGACCCTGCCAGAAAGAAAACTGAAATGTGGGCAGTGCCCTTCACTGGCCTGTCTTCAGAGGCTTTTCCACCCACAGCAGAACCAGGGAACTTCTTCGCCATAACCGGCCACATGTCTCGGCGAGAGTACAGAGGGCTCCTCTGCCGTCTGGAGGACCGCCATTCACCAGCTGACAGTGTCTACAGCACCATCTATGCCACATCCTCCCGCCAGGTTCCTTGGGCAGAAGATGCCATCTGTCCTCAGCCTGAGGCTCCATGCATACTCAGACTGCTTGCCCCTGTGAGACAGGCACTCAGACTGAGGGAGGCGGGGCATGGGAAGGACTGGGATGCTGAGTGCATCCCTGCTCCTGGGGACCCTTCCTTCTCATGTCCTCCTCTAGCAGCACAGGTTTCAGAGCGAGAGACTGGGTGATTCCTACCCCTGACAGAGTCCAGCTGTCTTGCCCTTGGGTCATTGCTCCTTGCTAGTTTTCTCACTTCTTGACTCTTACAGGACCTCTGCTTGGGGCCTGGGTTTCAGTCTACATTGTCCTCTGAGAACCCATTTTTATTGCCTGTTCCTTGAATTTGTTCTCCTGCCGATGGCTTGTCCTGGGGGTTGGGCCCCTCATGAACTGTCAACACCCAAAGGTTTTTCTCTGACTGGAACTCCTAGAGCTGACTATGCTGTTTTCACTGGGCGGTATTGATGGATAATTGGGAAAGCCAGGCTCTACACTCAAGCTTGATGCTAGAGAGACTGAGTCTAGGATGTAGCTGGGAACACTTGCAGTGTCCCCTTACCTCTATATGGATGAAGAACCCAAACACCCCTATGTATGCACATTCCTCCATTCTACAGTTAGATATATACTACATTCTACAGATGGATGTACTCTGAGTCCACAGGTAAGCAATGGTAGATGGAGATCCTGGTGTTTGTACCACTGTGTTTCTGGTCCCTGCTCTCTCAGGGATCTCTTTGTGTATGTATTGGGGAAGGCATGTGACTAAACAATGACAGTCATGGCTTAGCTGGAGGGATGGATAGGGGCCAGGATAGGACAGGGGAGCAACCTAAGTAACAGGAGCCTCGAATGCAGCAGGGAAAACACAGGTGCAGCTCACTCTGCTGAGAGGTTCAAGGTGAGCAATTCCTAACTTGCCAGTGGCTCCAGAGAAGACAATTTGTGATCCTCCTCCCTGCCCTACAGGAGCAACCACTGAAGGCCTGGGGGCCTTTCCAGAACATGCCCTCGGGATGGTGCCCTCACCTCTCCTGGCCTCGGGGTTCTACAGCAAGCCAGCACCCCATACTAGGGGTGTCTGAGGAGAAAAGGGATGTCTTAGTTTCATTTCCTGTTTCTATGACAAAGCACCCCCCCAAAAAAAAAGAACATAAATGAGCCAAGGGTGAGCTGGCCACACAGCCGAGGGCACAATCCACAGCTGTGGGAAGTTCTGGCCGCAGGAGCCGAGGCAGCGTGTTGTAGCCACAGTCAGTGAGCAGGCAGCAGTGACCATCAGCCTTGGCCTGCTTTCTCTTTTTTTATTTACTTTTTGTTTACTTTTATTTCTGTGTGTGTACAGGAACCACATGCATACAAGTGCCCTCAGAGGCCCCAGCAGAGGGTGTCAGAAACCTGGATCTGGAGTTATAGGCAGCTGTGAGCCTCTCCTGTCCGTCCTGCCTGGGTGCTGGGAACTGAGCTTGATCCCTCTGGGAAAGGAAGAGGCACCTTAGTCTCTAAGCACTCCGAGTCTCTGCTGCCCCTCTCTTTAATGTTTTTTTAAATCATGCTTTAAAGTTTTCAGAAGTTGTTTGTATGCTTTCTACAGCTTTTTGTAGAAATTTCAGACATGTATATGTGTGTTTCCCTTGGGAGAACATCCCAGAGCAGAGGTGCTTCTTGACCCTTTCCCCATCCACAACCTTCTCCAGCAGACCCTGAGGGTCAGCCTTAGCTTTCCCTCCCTCTTGCCCAGGCCACAGGTGAAGACTGCACCTTCTTCAGCCTCTCCTTTTACACCTCAGGACTTGTTTCAAGTCACCTCCCAGAAGAGGCTTTGTGTTGTGTCAATAGCCACAGCAATAAAAGCAAAATAAAAACAAACACTAGAGGCTGGGCATGGAGGCACACACCTTTGACCACAGCACTCAGAGGTAGATCTCTGTGAGTTCAAGGCCAGGCTGGTCCATGACCCGGTCAGCCAGGACTACTTAGCCAGATTGGGTCTCAAAGCAACAGCAGCAACAACAACAGAGCTAAAGATGAATTTGGGGAGCAGCCTATGGGGAGAAGGGGTGGACTTACCCTGCCAGAAGCCAAGACTCACCACAAAGCTGTTCGTGGTTACTGCTGTGTTTGGAATGGAGAACTGACTGAGGCAGCTGAGCTGGGAAGAGAGAAACAGGCTGCTGCTCTTAGAGAGTGGGAGGTGTGGGATTTGATGGAGCAGACATTCCCAGTCAGAAGAAAGGCTGGCACAGCCATCATCTGCCCATATGGGGGAAATTAAAATTAGATTCCTATCTATGTCTTACACAAAAATACATTCCAGATAGAGCAGAAGCTAAATGTGAAGAGCTGAACAATAAAACCTTTGGAAGAAAATATAAAATGAAATGGGCAGGGTGGCACGAGTCTTTAATGCCAATACTCAAGATGCAGAGGCAGGTGAACCTCTGTGAGCCTGAGGCCAGGCGGATCTACACAGAACTCCAGGATAGCCTGTGCTACATAGTGAAGAGCTGTTTCAGGAAAATAAAAGAGTTTGCAAGATTTCTGCGTGGAAGGCGACTTTTTACAACTCATCAAAGGCACAATAAATGCTTGACTTTATTAAAACTGAAAATGATGGCACCTAAGGAGATTCCCAAAACCCAGCTCCAGGAGGAGCTATGGACAAAGCAGGATCCACAGAGCACACAGCTGGGAAGAGAGCACTTGTTCAAAGTAACAGAGTGACTTCAAATTCATAAAAAGGAGGACGAGATGGTTTATTTGGGCAGCCTGGCCACCTGAGTTTAGCCCCAGAACCTACCCAAAGGTGGACGGAGACAAGTGACTCCACAAAATTCTCCTCTCACCTCCACATGTGCCGTGCATTCCCACCCCCACACCTCCTCGCTAATAATTTGGGCCACACAAGATGTTTCAGGAGATGAAGGTCCTGCTTCTGAGCTGACGACTGAGTTTGATCCTAAGGACTCACCTAGAGGAAAGAGAGCACTGACTCCCACAGGCCTTCCTCTGGCCTCCGCTGGCCTCAACATGCGTGCCGTGGCGTGTACATATATGTCCCTCCGCATGGTAAAATAACGTATTTCTTTTCATTGAAAAAAGGACAAATCACTTCAACTGCAATGGAAGGAGGAATAGCCCTGCAAATCAGGAAAAATAGCCCTGCAAAGCAGGGAAGCATAGCCCCACAAAGTGGTCGTGTGTGGGTCATTTGAGGAGCACCATACAGTTAATTTCACCAGCAACAGCAAGCATCTCGGTCATAAACTCTGATGTCCACCATGCGACCCTGAGCCTTCAGAAATTGATCTGGGATGTGGCCACATGGCAGGGCACTTGTCTGTTAATATTAAATTAATATTAAAGGACTTTGATTCAATCGTCAAGACCATGATATGTATTTATACACATGTATAGGTACCAGGTCCATAGAGATATACATACATGATACACATTTTCCCTGTCCTCTCCCCTCCTCTCCTCCACCAGCTTCCCATTCCCTTGGCTTCCTTCCCTTCTCTCTCTCTCTCTCTCTCTCTCTCCTCTCTCTCCTCTCTTCATCTCTCTCACTCACTCTGTGTTCCAGGTGGCTCTGAAGACCAACCGAATTTCTCGTACTTGTTAATCAGGAGCTCAATCACTAAGCTATATCCTAAGCCCTGACTTTACACTTTTGAATTCTGTGGCATTCTAATAACCATTATAGGGAAATACATAATTTCTTCCTCCAAATAGTCCTTTGTCCTGTAAAATCACTTTGAGTCTGTATGGCTATCAGGTTTCTAGTATATCAATATATACAACAGAGAAAACATTTAAACATGGACATGGGGAAAAGGATAAAACACTTCAAACATAGTGTCATAAATAAATTTCAGTGGAAAGAAAGATTAGCGTAAAATTCCAGCTTATACCACGTGAGAGAGAAAACGTGGGTTTTTTCTTTCTTTCTGTGTGTGTGTGTGTGTGTGTGTGTGTTTGAGACAGGGTTTCTTTGGAGCTTCTCCTGGAATTCACTCTGTAGACCAGGCTGACCTCCAATTTACAAAGATCCCCATGCCTCTGCCTCCCGAATGCTGGGATTAAAGACCTGTGCCACCAACTGCCCAGCAAGAACATAGGTTTTTTATTTCATGGACTTGAGCCATCTTCTCCTTTACAGTCTTCATTTCTAAATTTAGGGTTTGACAAAGTTGGGGCATGTTTAAGGTGCATATCTCTGTAGGTTTCTGTATGCTTCAATAAGACACTCTGACGGACCAGCCTGATTCCATCTTAAGATTAAAAGCCATCTTGTTACAAGGTCAAAATAATTTTATTTCTGTTTTCTGCAAAACTTGGGTTTAACCAGGTTGTGACTCATTTTCT